CCTTGAGGTTGGTCTCGCCGTCGAGGTTCTTGGTCTCGACGTAGGCATTGCCGTCCGGGTCGGAGGAGTTGAGCACGACAATATCTGCGGGGACCTGCTCATCTTCACGCAGGAGGACGACGTCGCCGACCTCGAGCTTCTTCCACAGGGTGCGCTCCCAGCGAGCAGTCCCGGGCGTGTGTCGGCGGTAGTCGACGACGCCCTCGACAGCCGTGCCGTTGGAGAAGAAGGTGGTTGCGCTCTGCTGCTGATTCTGCTGGTTGGGCTGAAGGGGCTGATGAACAGAGACGCTGCTTGCGTTTGCGTCGGCATAGGCGCCGTTCAGATCGCGATTGAGCGCGGTATTCGAGTAGTTGTAGCTCGCGCCGTAGAAGCTCTGGTGGTCGCGCTCACTTTCGCTGGCGATGGTGTGGAGCGCATGAGAGCTCGCCAGACTGTCGCTGCGAACGCTGCGTGCGTTGGGGCGGGCGCCAAACTCTTGGGTATTGGGGCCGGCGGTGCGGCGGCCACTGCTGCTGACCTCGCGCATGCCGATGGCGTCCTCCTTTTCGCGCAGCTTGCGCACGCCCTTGGAGACCTTGCCGCTGCCTCGACCGGACAGACCGAGGAGCTTCTGGTACCAAGAGCGAGGATCTTTTGCCTGGTTGAGGTTGCGCCAGTTGCCGAGACGGGTGACGGCCGAGTTGTTGACCTCGTTGTCGAGCACGTGTCGGCGATGGTCCTCGATGGAGTCCTTGATGGCGGTGATGGTGAGGATAGCGACGAGCGGAAGCATGGCGATCTGAGGGATGGTCGCACCAAAGGTTGGAAAGACCTGGAGGACGACGAGGCCGAGGAAGTAGATGTTGGCGACGCGGCGGAACTGCTCGAAGAGGAATCGGGGGAGGAAGGTGATGACGGTGTACTTGGAGGTGCGGACCTTGTTGCGTGGATAGACAACGTCCGGATCGCCGTTGCTGCGCAGCTCGGAGCGGGGCGGAGGCTGGTTGAAGTAGACGTTTCTGCGCTTCTTTGGCTTCATCTTGCGCATGGTCGGGCCGGCGGGCTGCGAGTCGGACTCGGCGGCCGGGGTGGCTTTGGAGTCATCGTCATTCGCGGCAGGGTCGTCTGCCGTGGCTTCTTCTGGCACAGAGCCCTGCTGTGCCGAGGCGAAGGGGGCGTCTGCGTAAGGCTGGTAGACCGAGACGCCGTCGGATCGGCGCTTCTTGGCCTCTTCGGAGACCATCTGTGCGAGGGTGGAGCCTTTCTGCTGCTGTTTGCGGAGGGTGCGTCCACGGAAGAGCTTGTGGGAGAGGCTGTTGGAGCGTTTTGCCTTGCGTCGGTCGTCTCTGCGCTGTTCGGAGCGGTGCGACTCGGCGATGGAAGCAGCTGCTGTGCGCACCGTCTTGAGCTGTAGATTTGGGTCGACCATGGGATCGTAGTCTGGATGTGTGGGGTCGGTGATGTACGACTGATCGGACGGACCAGGTTGATAGGGGGAGAGCGAGTTGGGGTCATAGTGGTGGCCGGCTTGGTCGAGGCCAGCGTGGCCTCGACTTGGTTCGGAGCGACCAAAGACCATGTTGGACGATGGCACGGCTGCTCTACTCGGTCCGGCGAGCAAGGAGCGAGAGCCACGACTGGGATGAGGGCAAAGAGCGCTGCACAGGGACAGACTATGCGCAGCTTGTACGGCGAGGAAGCATGCAGAGGCGGGGCAAGGCTGTCACTCGATGTACAGGTGGGTTGAAAAGCTGATACGAAAGCTGCAATGGCTGTCTGCTATGCGAGATGCGGCAAAGTGTGCGGGCGGAGCCGGCCGCGTGCACGGGTATCTGTCGAGACGATGGTGGCGAGATATCAAGCAAATGCTTTGTCCGAGATGAAAAAGGGCGGAGCAGCGGGAGCGGCAATGCCGATGGCGACGGCGAGAGCTGCGATTCGGATGGAGTGATGTGGTGGGGAGAGGGATGGAGGATCGCTCGTAGCGAGAGACGGGGGATTGGTAGTGTGGAGTGGGGGACGGAGACCGAGGAGCGGCAGCGATGACGATGGCGAGCGACCGAGGGCGGGAAGCGGTGGTGGGTTGAGAACGAGGTGGGCGACACTGCGAGGTGAGGTCGGGAGCGCAGGGATAGGGGAAGTGAAGGGGTGCAATGCAGCCCAACGGCCATCATCAACGCGCCCCATCCGAGCGGGCGTGCGGGTGTGGGCGAGGGCGAGGCAGCTCTGCTCTGCTCTGCACTGCAGGAATCGCTCGGGCTCCGCTGTGTGCTGCCCATCTCGGCCATTCCGAAATCCACTTTACACGCAGCACACCTTGGCAGCTCGGGCCGCCTTCTTTTCCACTTTTCCGCCCGAGCCAAAGCGGTGCCACGCTGTGCCTCGCTGTGCCTCGCTGTGCCTCGCTGTGCCTTTTCAACACTCGAACGCGCAAGCCTACGCTCGGACGCGCCGACCAGCGACCGACGCCGACACTCAAGCCATGACCGCAAACCCACCGTGTCTGAAACCAAGCTCACCTTTTCGCGCACCTTGGTGTGGGCCACTTCAGCACTAGCGGGCACGGTTCACGCTACAGCACACGGACCGTTGTGCGGAAAAGTTTTCAGAGCTAGCCGAGCCGAATAATGCACACTGGCGGCGGGGCGAGCCAGAATCAAAAGGGGCTTGGTGCGGCGCTTGGCAGGGCTCTTGCCCCCCTCTCAGGGTCCACCGAGCTTGTTCGGCGCGACACGCAGCCCTGCTGTCTCAGAGCGGTGTGTGTGTCTATCTTCATCACAGACGCGCGACGTGCCGGGCAGTGCAGCTCACCCCCGGCGAAGCGCACCCTCGCGTCCCTTTTTTTCGAGTTTCCTCTCGACACCCCCGGCCAGGTTGACAGCACAGCATTTGCTGCAAGTCGCAAACCACACTGCACAGCGCAGCATGAGGTTCCAGCAAAGCCTGCGGCAATGCAGTGAGTGCCCTCTTTTTCATAGCTGGTCCGGGCAGTGGACAGCTTCTGATCCAATCATCGAGGCCAGGCTGTACCAGGCTCGCCGTTCGCAGCCTAAGGAAGACCGTCTTGGGCCCATGCTGGTCTCTTTGGGCCAAGGTGGGGTCAGAATCTACTCGGAAGCTCCGACACTGCCCGGGAGGCTTCTTGGCATCTCGATCGTTTTTCATTCCCATGCGTCTCCTGTCTATGAGAAGCGATGCTGCTCTCCGAAGAGAGGCGCTCGGAAGACCCGACTGCCGATCTTCGCTTTGATGGTCTATGCGTCGCGGCATGCAAAGGCAGCGTGCGTTGACGAGGTGCATGCGGCTCGCCACATCCGGCAGCATGCTTGCAGCCCGTCCCTTTGGCTGGCCCGAGCAGCTCGAGTGTGGTGCCAAGTTTTTGACAAGCCCCTGTGCCTCTGCCAATCCTCCCCCCTGCCGAGCAAAAGAAAGAGTCTGGCTTCTTCCTCCCCAATCGCCTCTGCATGTTGAGCGTGCATACAATGCCCTTTTCGAGCCCATTTTCCATCGGCTCTCCGCGGCGGACCTGATCTAGTCGCCGAGCTGGGAATCCCGGCTGCTTCTTCCGAAATCCCGATCTTTCGACCCCGATGCCGCACAGTCTCGACGATCTATGGCAGGAGCATACTACTGTCTGAATGGTATGGACGACACAGATACACGAGCAAAGCTACTCTTGGTGCATGTGGAAGCTACTTCTGGTACAGGTTGTCCTCGTTGTTTCGGAACTCCTTGGCGTACGTCAGAAACGTGTCCATGCTTCCGGTCATCTTGCCCACCAGGCGTACCGACCACAGCGGCAGCACCTTGGTCAGGCTCAACACATACATGGCGCGAGGGATGTACACCACCCTGCTCTTGTCGCCCTCGAGGATGTCGACGATCTTGGACGCCGCCTCGGGGATGGTCAGCGTGGGCAGCAGGAACTGGTCGTGCGTGTCGAGCATTCGGCCCTCGGTCATCTTGGACTCGATCTTGAGCGGGCAGATGACCGAACTGCGCACGTTGTCCACCTTGTGATACGCGTGCAGCTCCGACGACAGCGAGGCGTGCAGCGACACAGCCGCCGCCTTGGATGCATTGTACGCTGCATTCGCAGGCAGTCTATGGAGCAAATGGAAAGGCAAAAGGGTCAGCTCTAGTCTTGTCAGGCGAACGGGAAGGATGTGAGACTTACTCAATGTAGGCGGCACCGGAGGCGATGATGAGGATATGACCACCCCAGCCATTCTTGGCCTGCTTGAAGGGACGGTCTTTCACGCCGCCGTCTGGCAACATGTGCTCGCCAAACGTCTTGAGGGTGGCCATGATGCCGTGAAAGTTGACTTCGGATACCTGCTTGGCCATCTCGTAAGGGAACTGCTCTTCGGTATCGAGCAGGAACGAGTGGCGGGCGATACCAGCGCCAATCACGACCATGGTCGCATACCCCACCTTGTCCTCCACCACCTTCCTCGCGTTGATGAGCGACTGGATGTCCGTCACGTCCGTCGGGACGTACAGCGACTCCAGACCGTGCTCCGACTTTTCGGGCAGGTCGAGCACCACCACCGTGGCTCCCTTTTGACGCAGCAGCTTGCACACGTGGCCGCCGATTCCTCGCGCACCACCCGTGATCACCACCACGTGGTCATGCCATCGGATGTGGCGGCGAGGCTCGCGGTTGATCACGAAGCGGTTGCCGATCGCATTGATCGTCTTGAGAACCCGGATGATCAGGTACCAGCGTGCAAGACGGTTCGAACTCTCGCCCCAGCCAGCGGCAAAGTCGGCCGTGAGCGACGAGAGCTTCTCGCGACGGCTGAGATCGGTCCTATCGCGCGTAAACTTGAGGTTGCTTGCGCCTCCCAGGATCTTGACGAGCGACAGGATCGTGGCAATGGTCGAGAGAGTCGGCGAGTGGAACAGCGGACGGAAGAGGCCGTTGACAATCGAATCCACCGTGAATGTGTTGGGCTTCACACGGTGGTTCATCGACCGCTTGAGCGCATCGTTCAGTGGCGCCCTGGCTGGCGCGTTTGTATTCGACATGGTGGGTCGAGGCGTTCGAGATATCGCTGCGTGGTGTCAGCAAGTACGATCAGACGGCTATGGGGTCAGATCGTGGATCGTGGACGTGCGTGCGGAAGAAGTCGTGAGTGGACGAGGCGTGTCCATTACCCCGCAAATGCGGGAGGGCGGTAACCACTGGCGCGTTGTGGCTCCCTGTCCGTGCACTTACCGCTGCCTTTCACGCGGCCGCGGCTGCATTCAACGCGCACAACTCGGCGTGAAGCTCCGGTGCTTCAATCACAGGCATCAAAATGATGGCCTTGACATCAAGCTGGCCGGCATCTGCAGCCTACATATCTCCAGCGACTCAAGCCGTTCGGCCACAGCATCCCATCGAACAAAGCACTCCAGGTAGCACGAATCGATCAGCGATGAGCTAGAATGAGCAGACACTGCTATCTCGATTGGAGCGAAGCATCGCGCACACCGAGCGGAAACGAAACGGGCTCATGTATGTGGGCGTGACTTTGGCTGACAGGATGCACTTGGCTAGAGGGCCCATTGGAGATAGTCGGAATAGCCAACGTGGATATGTCCCCACTTTGTGCAGAATCGACCAGAGGTGACTTCGTAGTTCTCGGTGTCCAAGTCCCGGTCACTTCCAACGTCGTCCGAGAACCAGATTCTCCATTGGCGGCCAGCGCCGCCGCGCCTGAGCGTAACGTCGTAGCATCCCGTCTTCGGATCGTAGTTCGAGTACACGAACTGTACCTGACCCGATCCGACGTAGGTGATCACGTACGCGTCCGAGGCGTTCTGGAACGCAAAGTCTACGAGGCCGAACACAAGTCATGGTCAGAAGGCCTCAAAGACGAACGGGATAGAAGAAAGGCACTCACCCGTGTAGTTGTTGTCGTCTTTGATCAGGATTCCATCTTTGATGTTGTCAATGGGCTCCAGGAACGGAGCAATGTGAACCGACGTGAGATCGCCGTGCCAGTGCGTGAAACATGGATGCTTGGGATCGCTCTTGTCTCCGCACACGGCTTCGTACTCTGCGCCGCGGATCGGCAGCTCCGTCACCTGGCAGGCTTCGACTGTGTCGAAGTTGGCCTCATCGCCAACGGATCGCTTGTTGACGCTCAGCGCAGAGGCGCTGTCGATGAACAGCGCCAAGACGGACGTAAAAAGCAGGCTGGATCGCAGCCTCGAGTTCATGGTGGAAGTAGTGGCAGTGTGGTGTGGTCCAAACTTGCGACAAACGAAGATACTTGGTCTTTTTAGGCGATTGATCATGGGTGGGGCTTTGTGGCAAGGTGAGGATAGGGTACTCTTTTTGCACTACTTTTCGAACGCGCTTCGTTGTGTCGAGTCGGGCGATCACACGTCGAAACCCGCTTCTGTACAGAGATGAAGGCGCCCACAGCACGCTTCAAAGTCGAAGCCCGGTTTCATCGTGGAGCAATGTAGCTTTTGTGAGTCTCCAGCGGCACCGAGATGAGGATCAAGACGCCCCGTCCCGAAACGAATCTCTTGGTGTGATGGGGCGACGCGATACAATTGTGGTATCCCACATTCGCCCCTGCATCATGATTGACAGTCACCATCGCATGGATGTGATTTGGGGGTTGCAGCATGTGGGGGTCTATCTCTGTCCGTATGTCGTGCGCAAGCACGACTGCACCCACATCTCCACCAACGAAGAGTGGGGACGGAGGCCACCATTGCCGACCCGGTTCATTTCGGTCATGTGGGCTCTGCAGAGTCGAGTTCCAACCGGCCATTCGAAGCCCCACCTGACGAACCTCGCCTAGACAGCGGCACCGCATAAAACGCGATGCAGCGAGAACTTGACGCGGACCTTGATCTTTTCTACCTCGAGCACTCGCCATCATGGTCGCCATGTACATTCAGCTGTTGAGCGTTGCTTTGCTCATGACGGGAACGCGGGCGGCCATTTCGGCGCCTCATGTTGTGGCTCCTCCTTCTCGACCGGCTAGACGCAGCTGTGCTCCTCACACCAAGCTGCTACCTCGCAATGCCGAGTACCGCACGCACTGCGATGGCGATACTCCCACTGGCGGCGACCTCAAATGGCCTTGCTTCACCTTCTGGAGCGACTACCTGGGCGACGTTGTGGCTTCCACCGACGACCCCAAGGCCGACCCGGACAAGGACATTTTCCTCGTCAAGAACGGCTTCCTCGAAGGTATGCACCCACTTCCTTCAGGCATTTTGACATTTTGACTTGAGGCTGATCGTCTTTTCGTCTCAGATTTCACCATTCGCGATCCGACCAAGCCGTTTAGCCTGACGTGGGACGGGCAGGCCACGCTCTCCTACAAGGGCTACAAGAAGGAATCGGGCTGCTACACCATCCAGCTCTCGAGACAGAAGGACACCAATCTGAGGATCTGGGTCTCGGATGAAGACAACAAGGAGCGCAAGGTCGACACGCTCCACCACGAAAATCCCGACCCCGTCGAGATTTGCACAAAGTGGGCTCACTTCCATGTCAAGTACGACGGCCTCGAGTGGTAGCTCCTCCATCTCCTTGATGAGCAGATGCTCAAACGTGCTCGCCTTGCTTCCGTCAGTAATGCAGCTTATCTTTGTCAATTGTGCTCAAGAATCGGCAGACCTCTTCCCTATTTGCATTCGCTTCCATAGATCGCACCCATACCAACCGAACCACATTTTGCAGTTCGTAATCTTGCGTCATGATGTCTGCTCACCACTAGAGTGCCCTCGCTCCATGTCAAAGATGTTTTCTCTTGACATCACAAGCCAGGTTCTAGAGGCTT